CCATTCTGATGCTCGGTTTGAACTTCAGCAAGTCGTCTTCATCATGTCTACATCTCTAAAATGCTGTTGCTGCCATGTGATTGGCTGAATAGCAATTTGTGTTATCAAGCAATTAAACAGATGCACCTAATAAAGTGGCCGGTGAGTGTATTTAGCTTCTGAGGCAGAAAAAAATATGCTGATAGTACAGGTGAAACTGAAAAAAATAGAATATCGTGCAAAAGTTAATTTATTTCAGTAATGAAACTTAAAACGTGAAACTAATATATGAGACTCTGTACAGGCAAAGCAAGATAGTTCAAGCCATGATTTGTCATAATTGTGATGATTACGGCTTACAGCTCATGAAAACCTCAAATCCACAATCTCAGAAAATTAGAATATTGTGAAAAGGTGCAATATTCTCGGCTCAAAGTGTCCCACTCTAATCAGCTAATTAAGCCATAACACCTGCAAAGGGTTCCTGACCCTTTAAATGGTCTCTCAGTCTGGTACAGTAGGAATCACAATCATGGGAAAGACTGCTGACCTGACAGTTGTGCAGAAAACCATCATTGACACCCTCCATAAGGAGGGAAAGCCTCAAAAGGTAATTGCAAAAGAAGTTGGATGTTCCCAAAGTGCTGTATCAAAGCACATTAATAGAAAGTTATGTGGAAGGGAAAAGTGTGGCAGAAAAAGGTGCACAAGCAGCAGGGATGACCGCAGCCTGGAGAGGATTGTCAGGAAAAGGCCATTCAAAAGTGTTGGGGACTTTCACAAGGAGTGGACTGAGGCTGGAGTCAGTGCATCAAGAGCCACCATACACAGACGGATCCTGGACATGGGCTTCAAATGTCGTATTCCTCTTGTCAAGCCGCTCCTGAACAACAAACAACGTCAGAAGCGTCTTACCTGGGCTAAAGAAAAACGGACCTGGTATGTTGCTCTGTTGTCCAAAGTCCTCTTTTCTGATGAGAGCAACTTTTGCATCTCATTTGGAAACCAAGGACCCCGAGTATGGAGGAAGAATGGAGAGGTACACACTGCAAGATGCTTGAAGTCCAGTGTGAAGTTTCCACAGTCTGTGTTGTTTTGGGGAGCCATGTCATCTGCTGGTGTTGGTCCACTGTACTTCATTAAGTCCAGGGTCAACGCAGCCATCTACCAGTAGATTTTGGAGCACTTCATGCTTCCTTCCACAGACGAGCATTATGGGGATGCTGACTTCATTTTCCAGCAGGACTTGACACCTGCCCACACTGCCAAAAGCACCAAAACCTGGTTCAATGACCGTGGGATTACTGTGCTTGATTGGCCAGCAAACTCGCCTGACCTGAACCCCATAGAGAATCTATGGGGCATTGCCAAGAGAAAGATGAGAGACATGAGACCGAACAATGCAGAAGAGCTGAAGGCTCTGGTAGGGATTTTGGAGTGGATCCCACGCCTTTCCCTTTAAAACCCATACCAGACTCATAGGGCCTGGAATTGTTTGTACCAAAGATATGTAGCAGAATACATTTTGGCCAAAATTTATGAAGAAATTTTATTTTTTAATTTTTTTTATTGGATATGTTTTATAGCTGTTTTTTTTTCAAAATGTTTGGTGTTTTTTTTCCTTATATCGCAAAAAATAAAAACCCAGTGGTGATCAAATATCACCAGAAGAAAGCTCTATTTGTGCAAAAAAAATATATCAATTTTGTTTGGTTACAGTGTTGCATGACTGCACAATTACCAGTTAAGATAGCGCAGTGCTAAGTAGGAAAAAAATAGCCTGGTCATGAACGGGTAAAAACCTGCCAAAGCTCAAGTGATTAGTGGCTCTTTTATAATATGTTTCGCTACCCCCATAGGGGCCGCTGGTAATAACTAGTTCTCCCCTAAAAGTACCGAGAACGCCCACCACCACAAGCACAAGTCCATTCACACTGGCTCTAAGGATACAGTCTAGGAGATGTCTTTTTAGTATTCATTACTTGAAGAAACTTTAACAGAAGGGTTTAGCATCACTGGTATCTCCAAAATGATCAGTAGCAATAATGAGAGGACAAACTTCTCACAAATCTTTTTACCACAGACTTTCCTGGAGGTAACATGGAATGGCCAGAATATCTAGGACTCTATCAGAGCAGCCCCAGTCCATGTAGCAAGCTCTGGCACTTCTAGTACATGCATACTCAAAGTCCACAGCAAGGTTTTTACTCACAATGTCCTCAGAGCTGTCTGCCACCAGCCTTCACAGGTAGATCCTCAGTGACGGAAATAAAAAGATCTTTGTCCAGGCCCAGGACTTCAAAATGGTGCCCTCCAGCACGTAGTACTTTAGCAGTTTTCTTTGGGCCCTAACCCCAGCTCCTGCTGAGATCTATACTACAATCTCCTGTTTCAGTAACTTGATCCTAGGAGCAGTAACCTCCCAGGAGACTGGAACTCTCCCTGAAGAGGAAAGACACTCACCCAGAGCTTCCCAAACATTTATCACCTTCTTAGCCATTTTCTAGATGCCTCCTTCCAGGGACTGGCTGAGGTATAATAAATATTCATACTGGTTATTTGCATCTCCTTGCCCTATATTCTTTGAGGTTCTTCCAAAGACAGGTGGGGAAATCAAACGCCCAGATTAGGAAACCCTGAACAGTCAAAAACACTCACTGCTTGACTCACTACAGTGATGACAATAATGAAATTTGCCTAGCAGCCTTACATACACTACCCCTTTAAAAATCTGGTCCTGGCCTCATTGACCGGGTTACCATGAAATCTCTTGCTTCCAAGAGCAGAGTATCCTTCTACAACAGGGGGATAAGGAAAGGAAAAAACACTGGCATAGTTACAAGATGATATGTGGCATTTCACATAAATAAACTTTGAAATTGCAAAAATAGTTCACATTATCCAAATGTAGCTCTCACCAGGAAATCCACCACCATGTGTAGATACTCGTACAAACACATATTTATATGTATCCCAACTGGTAGAGCCCTACTACTAGCTATTAGTAGTGAAAAGTCAATATACACAGTGGTGCAAATATTTTCCTTATTGACTTGTACCTTACCTTACCAGCATAAACAACAAAGCAGTAGGTACATCATAGTACAATGTTGGAGCATGATCTCCGCAGAGATGATCCTCCAGAAAATCAAAATAAACATCAAATAGCTCAGAGGCATAGAGTTTAATGTCCATAAGACTATTTTCAGTAGGTACTCTGCTGCCAATAGCGGCCAAAAAGTAAACAGTGCAAAAACATATTTAATATAGAGAAATATGTTAGGATTAACATCACAATGCTTGACAAGTGGATGGTCTCAGTTGTTCTGCAAGAAAACAGAAACACGTTCTATCTGAACTACATATCTATCTACAAACAATTAAGTAGTAAGGGATTAGCATGGTCTAGCATAGTCTAGATCAGGGGTCTCCAAACTTTCTAAAAAAAGGGCCAGTTTACTGTTCCTCAGACTTTAGGGGGGCCAGACTGTGGCCAGTGGGAGTAGAAAATGTCAGCATCAATGGGATTGAAAAAAGACTCAGGCTTGGTGGTCAATGGGAGTAAAAAAGATTACATAGAGCCTGTTGTAGCAAACGCGCTCATCAGAGTTGGATGCGGAGTCCCCCTTTTGTATTAGAAGTATTCCTCAATCCTTTATTCTCCTTCCCCCTCCCTTCCTGAGAGGCACAGTGACAGATGTGGTGTGTGCTGGTTATGGGTCAACCACAAGTTAAGGCATCCTTAGTTCGGTGCCGAGCAGTCTGCGAAAGTGTAGCCTTCCTCACCTAAGTCATGATAAGGCCAGTGTTCCTCAGAGAATTGGGAAGCACTGACCCAAGAACCTGTGTAGGCTCACACATCATGAAACAGATAAGGCAGCTTCTCCCAGGAATTGACAGAGATTGTAACCTCATAAAACCTAACAGGTTAAGGTGACAGAATGCAATGAACATTCCTCAAGTCAGGTTTTTCCCTATGTTTCATATAATGGATTATGACAGATGTTGGTTTTAATTCAGAGTCCGCTTGAGATCTCTCCCTAAACAGAGTATTAGCCAGTTACTTGTTGGGGGACTTTAAAAAAGCACAGGCTGTAGGCCTGAGGTTAAGCTAAAGAGATCTCCTAATTTAAACATCGTTACAGGAGGAGATCAAAGACCCTTTGCTCTGCAACTTGGATCTGCTTACCTTAAGGCTGAACATGGCAAGTAACTTAACCTTTTATCTTCTTCCTGTTATCTCTGTGCTGAGCTGTTTTCTATATATAAATATATATCTTAGTTACATTTTCTTTGTAAATATTTTATTGCACCTGTTTGACTCTTTTAGTAATAAATCTTTCTTTCTGAAAGTGTTAAACTGTTTCTAAGCGCTTACTTGCAATTTGACGAATTCCTGCCTTTTGAAGAGATGCTACTGTGTTTGTTTAATCCTCTGCCCAATCGGCCTGCGGTGACTGTATTGGACAGGCGACTTTTCAACCATTACAGTGTATATTGGATAAAGAGAGTTTCAATGAGTGAGTTTGGTGTGGAGGAGCTTGACTGGCCTTCACAGAGACCTGATGTCGGACAAGAAGGCCTGGCTCACAGTCTCTGCTCTAATTCATCCCAAAGGTGTTCTATCGGGTTGAGGTCAGGCCAGTCAAGTTCCTCCACCCCAAACTCGCTCATCCATGTCTTTATGGACCTTGCTTTGTGCACTGGTGCGCAGTCATGTTGTAACAGGAAGAGGCCATCCCTGCACTGTTCCCACAAAGTTGGGAGCATGAACTTGTCCAAAATGTCTTGCTATGCTGAGACCTTAAGAGTTCCCATCACTGGAACTGACTGTGGGGCCAAGCCCAACCCCTGAAAAGCAACCCCAGACCATAATCTCCCCCCTCCACCAAACTTTACACTTGGCATAATGCAGTTAGACAAATACCGTTCTCCTGGCAGCTGCCAAACCCAGACATGTCCATCAATTTGCCAGACAGAGAAGCATGATTTGTTACTCCAGAGAACACGTTTCCACTGCTCTAGAGTCCAGTGGCGGCATGCTTTACACCACGGCATCCCAATTCTTTGCATTGTACTTGGTGATGTAAGGTTTGGATGCAGCTACTCGGCCATGGAAACCCATTCCATGGAGCTCTCTACACACTGTTGTTGTGCTAATCTGAAGTCCACATGAAGTTTGGAGGTCTTTAGCTATTGACTCTGCATACAGATTTTAACTTCTGCACACTGTGCGCTTCAGCATGCACTGACCCCACTCTGTCATTTTACGTGCCCTACCACTTGCTGGCTGAGTTGCTTTTGTTCCCAGTTGCTTCCACTTTGTTATAATCCCACTAACAGTTGAGCGTGGAATATTTAGTAGCCAGGAAATGTCACGGATGGACTTATTGCACAGGTGACCACCTATCACAGGACCACGCTTGGAGTCACTGAGCTCCTGAGAGCGACCCATTCTTTCACAAATGTTTGTAGAAGCAGTCTGCATGCCTAGGGGCTTGATTTTATACACCTGTGGCCATGGAGGGGATTGGAACACCTGAATCCAATAATTTGGAGGACGGGGACAATACTTTTGGCAATATAGTGTATATAAATACTCTTTTACAACTCTGTCTTTTTTATTGGTGGAAGAAGGGTATATACTGCATATGTGTGTGATTTTTTACACTATTGTCATTCAATATTTGAAATTTAGAATTATATTTTGTATTTACTCACAGTATAACTAAAGGAAAATGTTTTCTTTTAGTTTTGGATAGTGTGGAGAGGTATTAGAACACCTAGAAGGTTTTACTACAGTCTGTCCTATTAGGGAGATTCACCTTCTCTGTTTGTCCTGTTTACCATTATCATTGAAAGTCAAATGAAAAGAAAATCCCAAATTTTGGGTTGTCCCCAGAAAAGTAATAGAAGGGAAATCTTCCAATGGGGACACAGCAAGCAAAAAAACTGATAGATATTCTAACCCTACATTGCTCTATCCAAAATGAAAAAAGGTTTGCCTTTAGGTATACTTTCAATCAGCCTTTCTGAACTATTTCAACACAGAGGAACCCTTGATATAACCTTCTGGTCTCAGGGAACCCCTGCTACAAATTTCTATATTTACAACTGATGATACATTAGTGTGATGGTCAATGGGAAGAATTGCTCCAGAACTTAGTAAATGAGTGGGAGCTCTGCTGACTTCCATCTTCCAGTTTATATACCAAGCTCTGGAGCAACTTGCAAAGTGCACAGTCTATTTGCCTAAAAGTAGAACTATAGGCAAACCTCTTTTTTTTTCATTTTGGATAGAGCCATCTGTGGAAGATGTCCCCCCTATTACTTTTCTGGGGACAACGCAAAAGTTTTGGTTTTCTTTTACTTTCACTTTCAATGATAATGGTAAGCAGAACAAATAGAGAGGGTGAATCTCCTTAACGGGGGCACAGACAGCAATAAAAACCTGACAGCCACTCTAATCCACCTCCACACTATCCAAAACTAAAAAAGTTTTTCCTTTAGTAAATCAAAGTTTCTATGCATTACTGTTGAGAGAACTGATCCAAAATGGCAAAAACTACTCAAAATTGTCTATTAGATTTTAACATTTCTTAAATATCGCATACCTGGACCACAACTTAAATACTGCATGCATTTAATTATTTATTTCCTTCTGTGAATTGAGTTTAAGGCCTTTTCATGCGGTATTTACCAAGTGTTTTGAGCGTTTTGCAGTAAATACAAATGCAAAATGGTATAGTGAATTGACAGTTTAACCTCCTTAGCGGTATTCCCGAGTGTAGCTCGGGGTAAAGTTTCAATACCAAAAGCGGTAACCCCGAGCTACACTCGGGCTTACCATGCGGTGTTGCTCAGGGAGTCCCTGCAGAGCTTACCTTGTTCTTCGCTCACATGATGTGTCCCCTGCAGCGTCCCCGGCCATCTCCTCCGGCCGATGCAGGCATCCGGCTTCCGTGTTGCGGTCCCTGTGACGTCGGGACGTACGGGCGCCAGAACCGACAGCAAATTTGAAATTTTTAAAAAATTTCATTTTTTTTTAAAATGATTATTACATAGTAAAACATTGCTGTTTCAATGCATTTCACATACATTTTGTCCCGAGTGCTTTGTCCGGCGCCCTGCCTGCATTTTGACTGTTCTTTCTGCCTGGAAACTGAGAAACGTCCATCGCGTCCAAAAAGTGTTCCCTTTACGTTAAAAGCGGTTTTAGACCGGCTAGAGAACAGCGATAGTAAATCAGAACCACTTGCAGAATTGAGTGATAATGATTTGTGGGGAAATTCGTCATCAGACACTGAAAACGATTTTGCGACTTTGCTCAGCGATGTGCGAATCTGCCTCTGTATTTCAAATTTCAGTGTTTTTGGTTTGATTATCTTATTGAATTAAATTTATTATTATATTATTATTTTTTATGATTATTTATTAAATTATAATTTATGATTTCGTGTTTCAAATTTTATCATACCCAGGATGTTTACTAGACTCTTGTTCGTACAGATTTCAGTGAGTTATTCCTAAAAATTACAGCATACAATAAAAAACTACATATTTCCATGCAAAAAAATGGTACCGCTTTCAGCATAAAAAATCGGAAAGAATCATACCGCCGAGGAGGTTAAGGATCGCATGCTATATTTAGGCAAAATGTGTCCAGACACCTAAATACCACATATAACCTACTTTTGTGAATGGATCCCAATGCCCTTGGAGCTGTCAGCCACCCAGCATCCACAGGTCAATGAGGGAGATAAAAAGGTCCTTCTCCAGACCCAGGACTTCAGAACAGTGCCCTCCAGCAAGCACTCCTTTAGCAGTCTACCCTGGGCTCTTAGCCCAGCTCTTGCTGGGACCCAGACGGCAATCTCCTGTTTCAGAAACACTCTCTTAGGGGCAGTAGCCTCCCCAGGAGACTCAAACTCGCCCTGTAGAGGAAAGACACTCACCCAGAGCTTCCTCAACATTTATCACCTTCCCAGCCAGCTTGTGGACACCTCCTTCCAGGAGTTGTCTAGGGAATGATAAATATTCAAACTGGTTATCAGCATCTCCCTTCCCTATATTTTGGAAGCTTCTCTCATAGACAGATGGGAGAAATCAAATGCCCAGCTTAGGAAACCCTAAACAGGCAACAGCAATCAATCATTGTTCCACTCACTACAGCAAAGCCAAAAACGAAATTTTCCTAGCAGCCTAACTAGGAGGGCGCTACTTCCCTAAACAATCTCAGTGTTGCCCTGAAAGACATTTTTATCTCCTCATCTCCATTACAATGGGTGCAGGGCAATTGGTAGTTTACAAAAGATATCTAGAAAATAAGATATCCTTCTGTGCAGCTCACAGGAAGTGACACGGACACAACATTACTGGCAAGATCAACAGATATTTTCTGTATTTACTGAAAATGTTCTTAACTTGAAAAAAACAAAAACTAAGGCAAGCACCACTTCCAAGGAATATAAGTTGCAATATATTGCATTTTTGGTCTCTGGTTTAGTTATCCTTTAAAGGTAGCAGAAATGTCAATCCCCTCTGTCATGTGACAATGCTAGGGCCTACCAATTGGCTACTAGGCCAAAGGATCATCAAAGAAGGTCACATGCTCTATTATACCTAGAAGTACTAGAGATATTGCAGCAACAGCCATGGAAAAAGGAGCAGAAATGTTGATCCCCTCTATCATGTGACAATGCTAGGGCCTACCAATTGGCTACTAGGTCAAAGGACCAAGGACCATCAAAGAAGGTCACATGCTCTATTATACCTGGAAGTACTAAAGATTTTGCAGCAACAGCCATTGAAAAAGGAATGGTAAGGGGAATGCTGGACAGTTGAGTGTAAAGAGGTTGAGTTGGGCTTGCCCTGAATGGGTAAGGTGACGGGACCTGTTTGCCAACCAAATTTACCAATTTACCAGTACACACTTTTGAATTTAGCATTTGCAGTGTGCAATTCTGGGGCAAAACTGCCTGCCAAATACTCCCTCCAACCAAATAATTGCGGATAACAATAAGTGACTATAAAATAATAAATTAAATGTTTATATTATTTTTCTGAGTAACTACCTTGAAAGAAATTTCTAAATCTGTATATACACTTTTTCATTTTGTATGCTTTGTCTACTACAGCCAACGTCCTTGGAATCCTACTAACTCTTATGCCATGTATTCACATTCCTTAGACCAGCCTTTCTCAAACATTTTAACATGAAGGAACCTTTGAAATAATTTTCCAGGCTCAGGGAACCCCTACTAATAATTACTATATCTGCAGCTCACAGTACATTAGCGTGATGGTCACTGGGAAGAATGCTTCTTATATTTGTTTCCATTGGGAGAACCCTATTCCCTTACAGATAACTTAAAAGATTATTGGTGTCAGTGGTTACTTTTAGAGAAATTGCTCATTGCTCAAGGAGCCCCTTTCAACCTCTGTAGGAACCTCAAGGTTCCATGGAACCTTGGTTGAGAAAGGCTGCCTTAGACCTTGATAAAAGCCTAGCTCGCCTATCAGGCCCGCAATGGAAAATAAATGGGCCCAGGCATTTTAGACTTACAGTAGCAGCCCTGAGCCCAGGGCCCTTTCCTTTGGAGCCCAGGCGGGGTTGCAAGTGCGACCTTTGCAACCCTGATTACTGAGCTACATATCGGATTGGATGTCACTCCACTTCCTCAAACTAAATCTTTCCAAAACTGAGCTCCTAGTTTTCCCCCCCCAGCCTTTGCCCCTCCCCCTGACTTCTCCATCAAGACTAACAACACCACCATGTGTCCCACCCCTCAAGCCAGAGTACTAGGTGTCATCCTAGACTCCAATCTGTCACCTCCGCAACATCTCCAAAATACGTGCGTTCCTAACCCCGGAAACCACTAAGCAACTCATTCACCCCCTTATTATATCATGACTCCACTACTGTAACTCCCTCCTCATTGGCTTACCTCAGCGCAGGCTATCCCCACTTCAGTCTATCTTGAATGCTGCGGCCAGACTCATCCACCTTACTAACCGCTCCGTATCCGCCACCCCCCCCTCTGCCAATCCCTCCACTGGCTTCCGATTGCCCAACGGATAAAATTCTAAATATTAACATTGATGTACAAAGCTGTTCATAATACTGCCCCAATCTGCATCACCGGCCTGATATCCATATACCACCCAAAATGTACTCTCCGCTCCTCACAAGACCTCCTACTCTCTAGTTCCCTGGTCTCCTCCTCCCATGCCCGTCTCCAGGACTTCTCCAGGGCTTCCCCCATCCTCTGGAACTCCCTACCCCAATCCATCAGACTATCACCTACTCTCCTCACCTTTAGGCGCACGCTGAAAACCTATCTCTGCAGGGAAGCTTACCCCACCCTCAGCTAATTACTGAACTCCTCCACTCTTCCTACCACTCCATCCCCCACAGCAATTTCCTCCTGTACCACTATCCCCTCCCTCCTAGATCCAAGGAGCAGGGCCCTCAAACCCCTCGTGTAT